TCTGCCTTGGGAGATGAAAAGCAGCCTGTCTGCAGAGCAGGAAAGCTCCACAGCTTGTGTGAGCAAGGGGAAGCCAAGGAGCAGAACCTGATCTTTAGATGTGCTAAAATTCGTGGGGGTAAATCAGACAGGAGATAGAAAAAGATGTAGGGAAGCAAAATAGAGCAGACAGACCAGTCATACCAAGGGGAGGATACTAAAGAGTGAAGAAGATGAGATGAGAGCTGTTGGAAGACAATTCTATTTTATCCTGACTCTAGGCAGGTGGGAGGGGAGGTAACTAACAGCTCGTGCTCTGGATGCACTGCATTGCTGGTCATTTTAATTAACAGGATGACAGGAGTCAGCATTACCTGTAGCACCTTGTTCAGCGTCCTGTCTTCGAGATAGTGAAGATCAGGAGGTACCTCAAAAGACTACTGGAACCTGCAAAAGTTACATGGGATATAATCTTCCCACTCATAAAAGCATTTATTTGAATTTTTAAACATTAGAAATCAGTTTAAATCCCAACTCCTTAGGTTATTATCTTCCTTTTGGTTCAGCACTGGTTTTTGCATGAGAAAACTGTACTAATTCAACATATGTTTGGATATTCCTTTCACCCAACTGCCTGTCTAACCCATGTTTAAGTCCTAATAAATTTCTTATCAGTAGCATCATTGCTCCATTTATGCACTACATGAAGTATCAATTTTCATGATTTTTAATGGATTTTTTTCATTTTTATACTTTAAAATTTGACATCTTTAAGTAAGCTTTGCTGATTTTATAATCAGACAGTGCATGTTTAGAGTTTACTTACCCTGTTAATAGTTTAAATATATTTTCTAAATTATTTTTAAGTATTTTTCTCCATTCTGGAATAAATAATAAAAATCTGTCTAGTCTCTTCATACAACAGGTTTTCATTGCCCTAAATACTTGCTTTCTCTGAATACCCAAATTCCACAGAACCCATTTTTAATGCAGGTTCCCAGTCTCTGCACTGTAATCCAGGTGATGTGTAGGGTCCAGCTACACAAATACAGTAGCTCAAGATGACCCTGTTTCTTATTTTTGTTGCAGTCTAACTCTGTAGCTTTTCTTGTCATAAATGCACATCAAGGAGAAATCTGAAGTGGATCTCTCTGCAGCAGCCCTTAGCTAGGTGCCCCTTCCAGCTTTATGCAGCTAAGGAGACAGGTTTGTTTGGATTTTTCTGCAGTATATGTAGTTCAGTTGCACTCTAGAGCTGTTTATTTTTGGTGGAATCTGTCTTCTTTGGTCATGGTGTAAATTCAGCTGGGACAGTTGTTATCCTCTGCTGAACTCCTTCTCCCAGTCTTGATTTAGCTAAAATAAATGCCCATCTTCAGCTGAATGTTTCACTGTTGGGCTCTATACTTCCAGAGTTTGAGATCATTAGTAAGTTATTAGGAAAAAGCATTAGTAAATATAATACTGCTGCTACTTTTGAACTAGTGAAGAAAGCTGTGCCCTACAAAACCATCTCTAACCAGGTAGTCTCCGGAGCTTTCTGGTGTTTAGAGTTCATACCCAGGATGTTTTAGGCAAGCAGTCTCTGTTTTTCCAGCTCTGGTTGTTAATAGCTATTATTTTCAGTTAGTTTCATTTAGAATACTTGGTTCAATACTGCAGTTACTAATCTTTTCTCAAAGTATGTGCATGTGGGTGTCCTCTCCTGACAAGCTGGAAAGTAGCCTGGAAGCAAGGAAAAATGAGAAGTGTGCTCCCTTGGCTCCCATATGCTGTCCATGCCCTGGAGACTTGATCCCCACTAGGACACTTTTCAGATCCGTGTCTTCATTTGAGAATCCTGGTGTGGTGCCTGCCAGGGAAATCAGTGCCACGGAGCAGGGTGGGCCACTGTGAACAGGGCAGGAGGAATGAAAGGAGGTGGCACCCACAAGGCCAGAAAGATGCTGGGATACATGTCAGCAAAGCTTGTCTAGACTAGGGGTTTGAAAGCTTAGAAAGGAGATGTACAGATTGGCATTCATTTATGTATGTTGGGAGGTTAATGTTTCAAACCAAGCATATTTTCACTGTAGATTGCAAGAATAGGAATTGACAACCTTAATTTCAGTTGTCATGACCTTACCCATACATGCAGCTTAGTAAGTGATTATTTTCTGTGTGCATGGTCCTGTACATCTTGGCAATCTTGGTCATACCCAAATGTTAAACAATGTAGTGGCCACTGTCTCTGGAATATGATGCCTTGATGCTCAAAAATCTGATTCCTCTTTTTTCCCACAAATTGCTGTGAAAGGTAGTAGAGAATCTGCTAGAATTTAAATCCTGTGATGTATAAGTACAAGCTAAATTGAACCAGGGTCCTTAGAACCTCTAAATAACATGAGACTGAGAGCTTGTCAGAAAATTGCAGGTCATTGGAAACTCACTTAAACTGCATGTGGCAATATGTAAATCTTGCAGCCAGCTTCCTGCACTGCTTGGTTCTTACATTAGGAAATGAGGAAGTTCCTTTTAGGTGTTTGCAATTCATATTAAGAATTTGATTTCTGAAATGTTGGTGTTACAGAAGAGGGAGTATCTCAAACAGTTAATCCTTGTGCTGATTACATATGCAAAAGATGATGCAGGCATGGAAGCCAAGCTTGTAAAGACAGAGAACCTTTGCTGAATAGTGTATGAGAGGATTGGAAATTCTTCTTAGGAAAACATTGCATTTATCAGCAGGAATTTGGCAACACATTTACCTCAGTGAACATTGCTAAATACCTGATACTTGCACATTTCATCCATTTCTAATCCCAGCTCACTCCATGCTGGAGTCACGATTTCTATCAGCAAACAAAAGCATTATTAGTTTTGCAGTATACTTGGATTTATAGCTGGAAAGTTGTGTTCAAAACTTCTTTGGAGAGACTTGGCTGGGAGATGTTGCTGATGTGAAAGATCTGCTTCTGAAATGCTTCCAGTGAGGTAGTCTTTGACTGGAGTAACCATGACACATGCATAGAATTGGGAAAAGTTGTTGATTTGCTTACCTTGGAGAAATATTAAAATGGTAAAAATCAAAGGGAAAACCTATGGTAGTCTGGTTTGTAGTTTTCAAAATACAGAATACTCAAAAGAAAGATGGGCATATAGCATGGAGAAATAAGTGTTAAAATGTGACTTATGTGTTAAAGTTGGGCTAGAAAACCATGTAAACTGTTGTAATTAAGTCTTTAAAAGTTTTTGGGTAAAATATGTTGCAAATACTAATAGTGCATGGGTTTTCTTGTATGCTTTTTGAAATATGAAACACAATATGGGAAAGCTTTGGTTTGTAGCACAGAAGTCTTAACTAGAGAGAGAGAGGTATAACAAAATTCCACTTCTTAGAGCAGTTTAATTTGGTTTTTAAAAAATTCAGTGTTTTCTTTTGTTGTTAATTTTCAAGGAAAATCAGTTTTAATTATTTTCTTTACTGATGTTAGAACTAAATATTTGATACTTTACATTTCAGTGCTGACACACACACAAGCTCATTTGAATGGTCACTTTCAATAGTAAATATACAGGTTTTTACTTATATACACTGGCTTGATTTCTTTCGATGTAGAATGCAGTTACTACTGTGAAAAGCTGTTTTATCTCTTGATTATCAGTTGCTTACTGTAAGACATTTCATATTCAGGGTTGAAGTGTGACTCTGCTATTTTAGGCAGTATAAAAGGTATTCTCTTTCCTGTAACACTGAGGTATAGTTTGCATTGAAATGGAAGTTTCCCTGATTTTGTGTTTAAAATGAAATGTCTGGAGTATGGACATGGTGCCACCCCCTGTCTTGATGCTTCTAAGTCTTTTCCTCAGGGATCCAGGGAAGGAGAGGGGTATTTTTGCTTCCTTCCACCTTTATTCTGCTCTGAGCATCCTCTGCCTCCAGGCCCCTTCCCAAAGCAGAAATGCTCTAATGGTTGTTTTGGACCAGCTCTGAAGAGAGGTGTGCTGCCCTGGGGTAACCAGAGGCCAGAATAACTCAGGCAGCACAGGGTGGTACACAGAGTAAGTGTTGTGGCCATGGAGGTAATACCCATTCTTAATATTTGGAGTTCTGTATAATACAGTAGCATTGATATATAATTTTTTTTGTATTTTGAAGATCTTTCTTATATCAAGTATTTTCAGATCAGTACTTAAAGAAGAACTGAAAAGTGATTTTCTCAGATTGGTGCAGAATTTAACAGGCATTGCACTCTGCCTACGTGCATGGGTTTGGAAGTTATGCAACCTCTTTTTATAGAGTTATATGTTCTGGTGATCTAGGTTTGCTCAGTTAGTGTTTAGAAATATCAGTGTATTAGGAGCTGTATATGATAAAAAAACTTAGGTCATGACAAACTAATGTGCACCTCTAAATATAAAAACATTTGTGGTAAGGTTCCAGTAGAAATGGCTTCCATCATTTTGTATACTGCCTTTAAAATCACTGGGTGCAAGAGGCTAAGTTGCTGTGATGTAGAGCCATGCACAGCATGGTGATGGAAAGAACTTGCATGGAGATGTTGCATATTTAGTTCAGGCAAAGACAACTGAGAACTGATCACCCAGGAACAATTGCTGTTGCATATCTGCAGACTGCAGCTGGGGGGAGAGGGAGGGCTGTAACAGGGCATGTGGTCACCTTGGCACTGAAGGAGTGCTGACGTACTGACAGGTCTTTAATACAAATTGCAGAGGTACTAGGTCATCAGAGTGCAATTGCTCAGTTTTTTTAGGATGAGCAAAATGCATTTTTTCCTGTTCTCATTGTTGGAGGAGACTGGACTTGTTTTTCAGAAACATTACACGCAGAAGAATCAACCTGAGGCAAACACCTGGCATGAAAAGAATTTGCCTGAATACTAATAATTTGGCAACATTTAATAAGCTAATTAAAACAGTATGTAGTAATGGGAATTCAGCTGCAGTGATTACTGCCAGATTCACCAAGAGTAATGGACTTGCATACCAACCCAGACTTACGACAAATGTTGTGATTGTAGGTAACTAAATGACCATGGAATCTGGAGCAGAGACCCAGCAGAGTGGAGATGCAGCCGGTACAGAGGCAGAAACCCAACAGATGACAGTACAGGCACAACCACAGATTGCAACGTTAGCCCAGGTATAAAAATCATATGGTGTAATAGTTTTACTTGTGGTTAATATTTTTAAGAGGGATAATGTGTGCTCATGGGGCTGAGAGAAGATTCTGTTGCTACCATTTTGAAACACATGCGATGTATAGTTCTTTTAATATTTGTCTTCACATTTTTAAAGCAGTAGAGTGGTAGGCTGCGTTAGCTCTGGAGAGCTGTACGTGTGTAAATTGTGTAATGTTAACACAGTAATGAATAAAAATATTTCTAGCATTCTATACCACAACCATACCACTGGAAGGTATTCATTTCAACACGTGTAATCTACTGTCTTTTTTATATTGACTGGGTTGTCTTGCTGTTGTGTTTTCTGTTAAAAACTTGTCTATAGCAGTCAGTTTAATTCTGAAGAAAGCAAACTGAATATGTAGATAAATAAGGCAGCAAATAAAATATTTCATCAGATGGGATTAATATTATGAGCATTACAGTCAAGTGGAACAATCTGGCACTTGGCAGCTTGTGTTATCCTGTTGTCTCCAGAGTTTCACAGAATTATTGGCAAGTTAGAGAGACACAAGTAGATAATTTGTTGTCCCCAAATTATTTTGGAGAGACAAGAAACACAATCACAGCTCTATCTCTGATTTTGGGATTGGGTTTCATTTTTGAATACACTGATGGTTGGCAGAAGCAACCCCATTGTATGAATGACTACAGAATATGTTTAGCTCTCTGTAACCATTTAATTTGAAAATTCATTGTAGTCTGCAAAAACCAAACAGGTGTTTTTGATCTCATAGTTTATGGAATTGAGTGTCTTTTAAGTGGCACAAGTGTTACATCACTTCGTTTCTATAAATGATTAGTGTCTTTTTAAAGTCTTTGCACCTTTTGGTAGTCCAGAGACTTCCAAACAAGTCCTGCCCTCTATAGTCTGTCCATTTCCGTGCAAGTGATAGTGTAGGGATTGGAGCTGTTTAAATGCACAGGGTGATCTTGTTGGGTGAAGCTCTAGTGTGAATTTACAAGCCACCAGCTGCCCTGCACCAGCTTGCCTCTTTGGGCAGTTTTCTCACTGTCTAACTTAGGCACAGGATGTAGGTGGTGTGAATAACACTTCAGTGTGAACTGAGTGGAAGTAGTTTATTTCTCCTGCAAAACCAGTTAACTGCTGCTCACTTCATGTGCTTTAAGGTTTAGTCCAGAGAATCAAGAGTGTTTTCCATTTATGTGCTAACATACTAACCTCCAGGGAGCTGAACTTAAAAGTATGTAGTGGATAGAATGCACTTCACTTGGACATAATTACCCCAGCACTTGAATGAGACTTTTTTCCAAGTAAGAAAACACTATACAATCATAGTTAAAATCCACGTGAACCACCATGTTGTCATTCACTATATTATCTGCACCTTGGTTTTTCCCCAGCCTGTGCAGGGTTTGTGGAGGTGATAAAACAGTCTAAACATAATTCCTTGTGTTGTTCACACCAGTGTTATGTTACTATGATATTTTTAATAAGTGAAGTGGCAGTGTTTGGCATTAGGGAGTGCCCTCAGAGGCCTAACCAAATCTAAATAACTAATTATATCCATTTAATTCTTTCATTATCTCTTGTAAGGTCACCCCTCTTGCAAGCTTAGTTTAATTGCTGCGTTTTCAGTGAGTTCAGGGTAGCTTTCAGAGTCAGAAGGAAACTCGTCCCAGTTCCACAAGGTATGAGTCAGAGACATGTGCGGAAGTTACACTCTGCTGTGGGCTTAATCCAACCACAGTGGCCTCCAGTTGATCAGCTTTGCTGTCATTGCCAAGGACTGTTTAGTCAGACGTGCATTATTAAGAAAGGTCACTTGGCAAAGGAATATAATTTGTCAGAGGAAAGGGCTCTCATGTTAATCTCAGCCCGGTTTCTCTCAGATGCAAGTTAAGTAGCACCATGTAATGCTGCATCTGCTTTCCTGAAAAAGGAAGGTGAAAGCAAATGCAGATTGGTGGATTAGGGAGAGACAGCTGTGGAGGAGAGAGGACTGCATGTAATTCCCTTTAATTTTGTTGTTAAACAAGATTTCATTGTAAGTGGTGGATGCTTATGAAAATTCAGAGATGAGCAATGGCAGCTTTTTGAGAATCATGTGTTCACGGGGACAGCAGAGGATTTCTTTCTGAATCCAGTACTTAGCAGCCCTTTGAGATGAGGTAGGACAGCAGTGCAGGCCTTTCTTGCACTGCAGCTACGTGGATCGAATTTTTTTTTTAATGCTCTTGAACCTTGGAGCATTGTTAGGTTTTCCAGACTTGGGTGACAAGAAGAAAGCTGGCAAGTGAGCCACCAGGTCTGCCAGAGCAGCTGATGCTTGCCTGCAATCCTTCCCTGGGGGCCATGGCGTGGCAGGGACGCTCACTGGGGACAGCGTGTGCTGCACTCTGCAGCCCTTCAGGAGCCCCCAGCCCCTGACCCAGGCATCCTGTCAGCATCAGCTGCTGGTTCTGGATGTGCACAGGGCATGGAGCAGCCTTGGCACTTCACTGCCCAGAGCAGTTCTTGTGGCCTGCCAGGGTGAGACTGCCCCGTGTGCATGAACAGCTCTGTGTGGCTCCTGCTGTCCCCAAAGCCATAATGTGCCCTGCTGAGGCCATCAGTGTTGGCATCGCTGCCGTGCCTGCAGGTCTGTGCTGGAGAAACAGTTGTGTTTCAAACATGGGCAATTTTTCCTCATAGAAGTAACTCTTGAAAGTAGAGTTTGTGTTGAGCTGTTACACAATAATCACAATGACTGCCTGCAAAATACTTACTTCCACTGCAAACTCATGGGGTTTTTCTGTCTGAACACATGCTCAGTTTTCTTCATTTACATGCACTTTGCCAGCTACTCATATGGCTTAATCTGTAGCAGGTGAAAGGTATGATTCCCTAAAAACGTTAAGTTCTTACATCTGGCAAATTCTTTGCATTTTCCTGAGTGAGAACAAAAATAGCTCCACTCCCATATGTTTCTGCCTCTGATTCAGCAGTGTCTGTAGGAGTACACCCGAGTCTGAGCAGTATCCAAGTGAAGTAAGTGAAAGGTAATGATGTCTTTGTATCAGGTTACCTCAAAATAGCGGCAGTTGTGTTTTTCTTCTTCTTCTCAGTGATTTTACTGATTATGTTTGAGCTTGCAGAAATTCTGCATTAGATTATTTTGTGAAGTAGGTCAGGTGCTGGGCTCAGGCTGTTCAGGGGGTTTTACATTACACTGAAACATTTGGGTCATCTGACTGGGGTCTAGAAGAGACATAGTTCTTTCACCAAAACAAACACTGAACTAAGGAGATTTTGCAATAACCTAATTTATGCTCACTGTCTCTTCTTTGCAGGTATCTATGCCAGCAGCTCATGCAACATCTTCTGCACCCACGGTGACCTTAGTTCAGCTGCCCAATGGGCAGACGGTTCAAGTGCATGGAGTAATTCAGGCTGCCCAGCCGTCAGTTATTCAGTCTCCACAGGTCCAGACAGTTCAGGTACTGACCGAAGAAATTCCTAATATGTGAATTGGGCCTTTGAAATAGGCCTGTCGTTGCACTGGTTTTAATGTATTTGTGTCCTGGGTTGTGTTTTTGCAAATCTGTACAGTATTTGCTACTCTGACTTTTTTTCTGTTCTGGCTTAACCACTTTTCATTTTCAAACACTGCTGAGTTTCATTTCCCTCTAGAATTTGTTTGGTGAGTTTAACAGCTTTATGGTTTTTCTTACAGTATTACTGTATTTTTTCTCTATACTGTATTCACATACATTTTTATTGAGTAAGAATTCATACTATTCTGAAGTGAACAGAAGGATGAATTTTTTTAATATTGTAATTTTTAATAATTAATGAGACCAGTATTCTAGAATGAGATTCTTTGCTCAGTAAGAAGTGTTTGCATTGGTTTACAAAAAAGGTCTCTTGTATGTTACTGGTTCTTCAAGTAAATCTATCAGTCCTTACATAGAAATGGTTTTGAAATGTGTGGGTTAAGTGTTGTGTGCTTTGTGAAGCCTTAGCATTGTCTCTTCTCTGAAGCAAGACAGGTAATGCAATATGGTGAGGTAACCTGAAGATAGGTGACAAGCAGTCTGAAATCTTTAAAACTTCTAACTTGCTTTTTATCCACTTGAAGTTCAGTGTTACTGAATGTAGATTTTTTTTTTGGTGTACAGCAGCTACACCACAGGACAAGGACTGTACATTATTCATTTGCTGTTAGAACAATTAGCTCAAAAATGTTTAATTTCAAAAAATTAAACATTTGATAGAGATATTCAACTGGGTATTATTTTTTAAAATAAGGTGTGCATAATTAAAAACTAGACCATTCTGATAATAATCTGTATTTTTTCCTTCTCAGCTTCAGTGCTGAGTTTGTGGCAGGCTCTACCATCCTCAGCCATTGCAGTCAAAAGTTTAGAGTTTTAATCTGAGGTGAGCAGTTTTGAGATAAGTGCACAAGTTGCTACCCTGGAGGTAGAAGATAAGAGACTGACAATGAAGCCATGCTTGGAATTCACCTGGTTCAATGCAGATCCATGGAGTTTTGATATTCTGAGCCCAGTAGTTCACAGTCAGCCTTGGACTTATTCAGGCCCTCTATCTGACAATTGTGAGATGTGGGTGCCAGCAAAGAGCACTTTTTTTGAGCCTTTAAGAAACTTTTCTATAGTGCATAAATTGTCAGGATGTGAGCCCTGTTTCTCACATAAGCAGCATTAGCTTTTAGATATTTTGTCATGCACATTTTATATTTAAAATTATCAAAATTGTTTTAATATTATTTTATTTTAGCTTTTCTGCATAAACATTCTGCTTTTTTAGCACAGATATTCAGAATGGCAGCACTACATTATTTTTTAATATCTTCATGTATGACATTTTCCTGGCAATTTCCCCCATGAAAGGCAGTCTCTAACATATCTACCTCATTATTTATAAACTGATGTTTTTTCACAATTCTTTGTTTCCAAACATTTCTACTACCTTAATTTTATTTACTCTCTCCCTGAATCTTACTAAAAAAAAATCTTTGTTTCCTTGCAATGGATGAGAACAAAACATCATGGAAGGCAAAAACCGTATGGTATTAATGTTTAGGTTTTCTTATTGGAGTATTTAAATTCTAAAGAACATTCTGATGGGTAGATCACTGACTGTGGTCACTGTTTGCTGGATCTATTACTAAGCAGTGACTTTCTGTTCATTGTCTAGATAGAACACTTGCATTGTGGTGTTTTTCACCACAGGATGTCAACATTTCCTTAAAATGAAGGCATTGGAAGTGTCTTGTTAAATTTGATTGCTGTTCTTATTTACAGATCTCCACTATAGCAGAAAGTGAAGATTCACAGGAATCAGTAGACAGTGTCACAGACTCACAGAAACGAAGAGAAATTCTTTCCAGACGACCCTCCTACAGGTAGGGAGGGTAAAGCAGAAGCATTTCTTGATGGATGGGTGTGTTCACATGGAGGTACAAACAGTGGGATTGTATTTTTATGATTTTTAAATTTACCATTTTACTGAAATCTCTATTCTATTGTGTCTTGCAATTGGAATATGGAATATGTCCATGGAATAGGATGTTAAGAGATAAGCAGGAGAGGAAGAAACCTCAGTAGTTGCACTCACGTAAGACAGAAGTGAGCTGAGAATATGCTAATTGCCACATTTCAGAAAACTGAGGTATCATTGTGATAGATGCCTTAGAAATAGCTTTAATGAATACTTAATATACAAAATACACTGAAGTTTTGCAAAAAGGGACTTCTGTGTAATCTGTAGTCTGCAAAAAATCAGGTCTATTGGTTTTCATTATTGCTGAAATGCTTGCAGGAATCAAACTTAATTCCTTTCTCCCATGAGGCTTAAGGAAGCTGTGATGTTCCATAGCTCAGAGAAAATTTCTGCTTGAGCAAAATAGTTTGTGTTTAAAGTTAAGTCACTATATGAGTTGAATACAGTGAAAGGTATCTAGTGTCTCTTTCTCATGGCAAATACCTCTGGCAAAACCAGCTGAGGTTCTCCTTCACATGGTGTGTCATGTTACTTTGTTAATTAAGCCTTTGCACAGCTTTTTGTGTCTGTACTAAATTCCGCTTCTTAAAATACACCAAATAGCATTAAGGAACAGCTCTGGGGTTCAGTAGGTTTTAAATGACCTGTGAGTTCCTGCTGCTTTAGAAAATTCAGATGCTCCTTTTTCCTTTATGAGCATAGCCTTGGAAATAGAAGCTGGGCTGTAGACCTGAGCATATCTCAACCATGGTACTTTTTTAGTACTTGGACGATTATTGTCTGCCTTGTCCAGCAGCCTTCAAGGCTCTTCTGCCAAAAATAGTGAAAATCATTGCTGGAGATCCCTAGCCATAATAGATCTGGAAAAATATTTTTATTTGTGAGGAGCAGTGTTAGCTTCAAGGCTGCCACAGATTCCCTTCAGTCTGCTTCTGCAGCAAGACACTTGATTTTACTATATATGGAAGAGTGGCTGTATATGGTGAGAAAACAGAGCTAAGTAAACAAGCAGCAAAACTGAGAAGAGGGTGCTTGTGCATGCTGACTTCTCATTGAGATTGACTGTTTTGCACTGGTGCCACCACACAGCCTCTGTCTACAAACCAGATTGTGGTGACACAGCAACATTTGTTAGCTGTAAAACTTGTATATGCAGCTCAGACTCCAGGCTGGTGTTGGTTAGCTCAGAAAGGCTGAGCCAGACCACTGCTGCCTTCAGTGACTTCCCAGCCCTTCAGTGACTTCCCAGCTGGCATTGCTCAACCTGCTGTAACTGGCCCCAGAAACAAGATAGGTAGAGATACGTTCACAGAATTGAAAGCTATACCTCTTACACAAAATCTCCTCTGTGATTCTGCTACTAAAGTACGTCATGTATTCCATCAGTTCATAGCTCCTGTATTTGTAAAGCTGCCACCTTATCCTTTACCTTAAATCCATTTTTATGATGGCAAAGGAAGGTTTTAACCACAATGTCATAATGACATGAGGTTAAAAAGTGACTTTATCTCCTTGGATTTTGTTCTTCATCATCCCAGCTCTTTCCATATTTTTTCATCTGTTTCATTCACTAGTTTCTGATCTAACACCTAGATTGCAAACTCTTTGGATGGGAATTTTTTATTTCTTGCATGTGCACAAAGTCAAAAACGGCAACAGCAAAGCTCTGTTCATGAAGCTGCTAAGCAGAATGACTGCTCTCCCCAGACAGCTTCATAGAGGTGTTCTGGCTCCCGCAGCCTTAGGAGGCTTGTCTGAATGGCAACAGCAAAGCTCTGTTCATGAAGCTGCTAAGCAGAATGACTGCTCTCCCCAGACAGCTTCATAGAGGTGCAGCCTTAGGAGGCTTGTCTAAGAAAGTAGTGTTGACTTGGAACTTGGGGTCTACAGCTGCATTTGCTTTGCCGCTGAGTTCCTGTGCCAATCCACTGGAAAACATAGGAGGAGAATTACAAAAAATACTGCCCTTTACTTAGGGGTATTTACTGCACTTTGCTGTGACATAATAGATTATGCCAGCAGTGAAAAGGACTTGACAGTCCTCTGAGGAGGGGGAGTGTTTAATCTCAGTGATGCAAATGGCAGTGACTCCTGTGGTCACTCATCAGTCATGTTCAGTGGGACCTGTAGCAGTGATGTTTTAGAAGTTTTGACTTTGGATAATTAGCTCATGAAAATAATGAAACAATCTGTTGTTTCCTTTACCCATGAACTTTCTCAGGCAGAGCACCTGTGAACATAACTGTGAGACTGTTCTCAAACACTGGGTATTGTCTCCCAGGCAGGTGTTAAATTATGAGCTGCTGGCTCTCTGCAAGCATTCCTGCTAACTCCCTTGGTACCCAGCTCTCAGGCTGAGGTGTTTATAGTCTTTGAAATGGAGCAGTTCCCCCAATGTAAGTGAGGAGACAGGTTCTGACTTTTTTTCCCCCAAATACTTGTATGGCTAAAAGCAGGAAACAAATAAAGATGGATGAGAGAAACATGCTCTGAAGAAAAAGGGAAGATTGTAATATCTGTATCATGAGTTTTGACAAGCACAGTTGTTCTGTGCTGGCTCCCTTGCCCATCAGTGCTTGGCATTTTGAACAATCCTCTCCAATAAGAGTTTGAAGATAGTGTGTGGTTTTCATTCTCCACTCATATTTTCCTTGCTGGCTTCCTGCACTTCACATTTTTCCCCAGCATTGTGTATCAGATAGACTATTTTTCTCCCCCAGTTTTTATTAAAATCTCTACAACACACTGTCTTTGCCAGAAAAATTTTGAATGACTTGTCCTCAGACGCCCCAGGAGTGCCAAGGATCGAAGAAGAAAAGTCTGAAGAGGAAACAGCAGCACCTGCCATCGCCACTGTTACGGTGCCAACTCCCATTTACCAAACCAGCAGTGGGCAGTACAGTATGTAGTCTGAATTTCTCAGTGGTGCTAGTAAGTGGGGATGAGAAGATGAAGAACTTATTATTTCTGTAACTGTTGTGTGGACTAGGACAAAGCAGGAGGTGAAGAAAAGATTACTTTATTTTGACTGTTAACCAGGCCTTTTGAACACATTTCTATTGCAAGTGTTTGAAAGGCTTGATTAACATTCTGGGACTGCTTGCCACTTGGTGCAGCTCATGCATCCTGAGGCAGAACAGGAACTAACCATAATGCTATTATAAACTTCTTCACTTCAGGAACTAGATGGGGGAATTCAGAAGCTTCTTTCTTTTTTCTTGGCAGATCATTAATACTTGTTCACAGTTCTGTAACCTCATCATTAGAAAAAAACATTACGGTCTGCAATTACATTTTTAGAAAGTCCTGAAAAAATAAGGTCATTGACAACCTTAATATATGTCATAAGTACATGTTTCTGTGTTTTCTGTGTTAGATTTTATAGATACAGTGTTTTGACTTGAAGAATGATTGAGGATATGGCCTTAAAGATAAGACACATGCAGTCTCACACTAACCATACAGTAGGAAACATACAACACATGCAGAAGGGAGAAAGAACTACTTGTTTACATCTGTCTCTTAAAATCTCTTTAAAATTTTGTATCTCTGTTTACTCCTTAACCCCTTTGCTTTGTATCCTGCTCAATTTTATTGAAATGAATGTGGTTAGTTCTGATTCCTGTTATACCTGTACAATAACTGTGTGTGCAGACACTTGAGATTTTGGTGTGTCTGTATATAGGAACACAGTGGAATTCTGTGAGTCACAAAAGGGGTGATGCCCCAGTATACATGCATGACAGGATTGAGGGAAAGAAAGGAAAAAAACAGCAAAGTTAAGACTGCCTTAACCAAACTGTACCTTTATGAATGATAAAACAGCTAGTAAGGGTCTGAGGAAGTTGTAGAGAAGGGGGGGACACAATCAGAAGGAAGAAAAAATGCCAAATCAAGAAGAAAGTGAAACACAAGATGGATAGCACTAGCAGCAGAGGAGACTGAAGGGCATAAAGCACAGAAGATGAGAGGAATTTCAGATTACAAGAAAAACTAAGGACTGAGAACAATACCTAAACCAACCAAGAAGAAAATCTTAATGAATTAAAAAGTATTCCCTGAGGTTGGATTGTAGCTCTTCCATGTAATTCTGTTTTATTAGAGAAACTAATTTGTATTTTAGCTGTGGGTTTTGGCCCTCACAAACATTTGAAAACTCACCTTTCAAAGGATGATTTCTTTCATGTACATTGAAGCCATGTGTCAGATTTGGGGGTGTGTAAGGGTTCAAATGATTTAGTTTAGATCAATATTCTTCCACACCTAGGTTTAATACTGTAAGTTAATGAGTGAATTATTGTCTTAAATGCTGGGTTGATTTTTTTTGTGTGCAGTTGCCATCACCCAAGGAGGAGCAATACAGTTGTCTAACAATGGCACAGATGGAGTACAAGGTCTCCAGACGTTGACAATGACCAATGCAGCTGCAACCCAACCTGGCACCACCATTTTACAATATGCACAGACCACAGACGGACAGCAGATACTTGTACCTAGCAACCAAGTTGTTGTACAAGGTGAGAAACCTCATAGCCACTCATTCTGTGTTGCATTTTCTCTGTGCAGTTAGAAGTTGCCAGCCTGACCCCTTCAAATATGTCAGGAAAAAGAATTAATAGCTTTGGCACAGATAAGTCCATAAAATTACTGAGATTTTGGACAAAGCCCTTTCTCATATTTTTTTGAAGCCTTTCCCTTTAGATTGGTGAAACTGTGGATATTTGAGGCTTAATATATTTATTTTTGCTTTTCCATGCTGTATTTCCTGCATTTTGTCCACATGATTTTTTTTACATGTTCTGCAAAAACTAATACCACTTTAGAGTTCTGAGTTCTCCATATGCGCAACAGTAGGAGATTTCAAGCAATTATTAAAGACAGGAGAGAGGTATGTTTGATTCTTTCTAAAGGGACACTTTAGTTTATTAGTAATTTTTCCCTTTTTTCAATTGCAAGTCATAATTTCTTCCTACTGTGACTCTTTAACTAGTCACTGAGTGAGTGACTCAATCAGTGAGTCTTGGAATCATGGAACAATTTAGGAGAGTGCCTTAAGTGATCATTTAGTCTAGCCCTCAACTTGGCAGAGCTACTTTCACTTAGAGTAAGTTGTGGGGACCTATTGTATCAAAATACATTCTTTGGTTTATTAAAAATTGAGGAGTATTACAAATTTTTTATTGAAAATAACAGAAGTGCGCTCCTGCTTCTATGAGTGTAAAGTAGTTGATGTGAAAGTTATCCAGTGAAGAGTTTACCAGGCATCAGTAAAAATGCATAGCAGAGAAGAGTACTGTTGTTACATTGATCTTTGGGGTTTTGTGTTCTTAAGGACATATGATTTCTTTAGGTGGTATTGTAGTTTATTATGAGCTTAGGCAAAATTAACACACTTCTAAGATTAAAATTAATAAAGTAAAAGAAAGCCAAGACCTTGCTCATCCTAGAAAAGCAATAGGGTGCACTGTCCACCTCTTGTGGGAGTAAATGCTACATTTTTACTGCTTTTTTTATGTTAGATACTTACACCTGCAGTTCCTCCTTTTCCAGACAAACATTTGGAGCATAGCTAGAAATAGTGACCCCCATCCTTCTCTAGAAATGCTAGAATTGCCAAAAAACCAGAGTAGTACAAAGAAATATAAGAAGGGAGAAAGAAGCACAGCTATACTGCAAGACAGATCAAGTTACCAAGCACAAGTGAAGACTTCTTCAGCAGCCATGCCCAAAACCTTGCATATATGGATAAAATGAGCCTGAGGTGGCAGTGGTGACCCGGATGATGGCCGTCCCTCCTGAGCTGTGGCCCAGATGGCTGGGTCACAGAGGGAGCTGTGTTCGGGACAGGTTAGAGAGATGAGTAGGTGCTCTGCACAGCACGTGTGACAGCGCTGTCACCAGACTGATGTGGCGTTCCCGTGTGTCCCTGCAGCTGCCTCAGGAGACGTGCAGACCTACCAGATCCGCACGGCCCCGACCAGCACCATCGCTCCAGGAGTGGTCATGGCGTCGTCCCCCGCGCTCCCCACGCAGCCGGCGGAGGAGGCCGCGCGGAAGAGGGAGGTGCGGCTGATGAAGAACAGGCACGTACATGCACACCACTGCTGCTGCCCAGCCAGCTCTGCACGGGCCTAGGCTGTTGGTGCTGAGAGTGCTGGTCTTTCTTAGCCCTGTTATGAAATGCTTGATGAGGAATTTGCCTTTATTTAAAGATGCAGCGCAGAAATGCACATCTGCTAGTGCTGTGTGGTGTGACTGTGAAACCTTGAGTAAAGTGTCAGACTCATTCTGTGAGGTGGGTGAATTTGGTTGTTGCAGTAAGGAGAAAAGTAATTGGTGAGATATTTGTATGACTGCAGATCTACAAACACCAAGATGAGTTGCTTTTTTTTGAGTTACTACATTCATGTGGTTTTCTTTGCTGGATTCTCTCCCTTAGCCTTGCTGCTGGCCCACGTGTGCTCCTTGTGAGTACTTATTTGATTGTCTCACTTGTTCTTTTAGCCGCTTTGGGTTTTCCCCTCCAGGGGCAGAAAGGCTCAAGCAAAGGCTAAATGAGCAGCTATTCCTTTGATTGAAGTCCTGTGGAGCCAGTAGTGGCAGCAGAGGGACTAAAAGAAAGGTAAAGACTTGATCCTGTAGGATGTAGGATGTGAGGAGGAACAGCTAAGCTTAGAGTTAGAGGTGGGAGTGGGTGGAAGTAGCAAAGGAAGGGAGCTGTAGGGAGAAGTTGAGCAGGATGCTCCTGAAGTCTGTTGCTGTGGGAGTGGGAAGGGGTGGGCCTGAGCTGGCCCATCACACCAAGCTTGAACTCTTACCCACAGGCCACAGATGGGAGCCTGTGTGTTCCACTGTGGCGCTGAGAGCCCAGTGCTTCCCACCCTTCTGGGCAGGGGAAGCCTGCTGAAAGCCTTGTTAACTTCATCTGGGAGCCTGAAAAAAACCTGATGTTGTGCAGGTTCATTTATCTTCTGTACGTTGCTGTGTTGTGAATATAATGGAAACTTATTTGAGCAGACCTGGTGCTTATACAAGGGGTTTTAATGAAGTAAATAATGCTGAACAGCAGAGGTCACTTTTTTAAAAGGTTTTTATACAGAATGTCACCCATTTCCCTTTTTATATAATTTTCTCATATCAGTGAATAGTGGATATCACTCTTTCAGGCTCTGCATTTGAAAAAAAATTAATTAGAATCACAGAATACCCTCATTTAGTCATCAGTCTTAGTCCAGTAAAAGAAAGCTTTTGTGTTTGTGAAAGCCAAGAAAAACAATGGGGAATTACTCCACTTGAGTTAAATTGACAGCTTTTGCAACAGTATCATGTTGCATGTGGTGCTTTTAGGCTGTCTGCTTAATAGATATTTGCAAATCTAAGCTCCATAGCAAAGTGGGGAAAAAGGATAGAGAGGCAGATGGTAAGGTGGTACTTACTGGAGGATTATAGTGTAAATATTCATAGATATTATTGTGCAAATTTTCTGTATAAATTTTACATTTTTAAAGCTCTGTTGTAATTCAGTAAAACTCTGGCTGTTCATAATGAACAACTAGCACACACTAGCACAGACTTGAGGTGGCTTAATATACACAGCCTAAGGGGGAAAAACATCACAGAAAGAAAATGTTGTCACCCAAGGAGACTTGTTAGTAGTTTGCACTGGGAGACACTTCCTGATCCCCTAGTACTTAATCTTTTGGTAACAGCCCAAAATTACTTAAATTCTGAATGTTACACATGGTTTATTGAAGCACTGCAGGCATGTGAAATTGTATTTGTGGGAGTGACAAATGGATAGCTGAGTCCTTTCAGGGCTTACAGGCTATGGTTTCTTCATCCTGTCTCATTTGTGGAGCTGAATTTCAGAAATTACTTTAGAGGCTTCTTATCAGTTAGGTGCTGGAATGCATTCTGTTTTTACAGCTCCTCTTTATCTAATAAGGGGAGGAACTGGGTTCTGATTTGTCCTCTCATTTCCCAGAACACTGACTGTCTCACCAGTCTGTGTAGTGTTTGAAGTGAAGGGGCACACAGACTCTTATTTTTGAAGCTGTTCTGCTTTGGACCTAAAGGTTCAGGGCAAGTAATTGTTTATTTCCCTGTGTCTGCAGAGTGCTGCTTGGACAAGTGGCACTGCAGGAGGAGATCCCTCTGCCTGGGCTCCCATCTGCCCGTGGCATTTAGCCCTGTGCTTCCTTTGCACCTTGGTGCTATTATATTGCTGTGCAGGGTATTCCTGCCGTGGTGTTCCTGCCTTCAGGATGCTCAGCAGCACATTAATACCTTCTGCTATTTTTCACTGGTGTTCTTGGTATGTTACCAAGTTACCTATAGGCAGCTCACTCTTTACAAGCAAGACTTAGCTGTTTGACTATCTTGAGGTCTGTTTTTGGCATAGCTGACAGGGACTAAAGAATTCTTGGTTCTTTTGTGATATTTTTTGTTTCGTTTTTATTTGAGTCGTTAATAGTATCAGTGCAGTGATGCAGACATCATTATTAAAATGAAAGCATTGCTCAAGAGCAAATACATGAATGCTCTAAATACAGCACATTTTTACACCAGTTGATCATCTTGTTGGACTGCAGCAAAGGGAGAAGTTAAAGACTGTAAAAAGAATAATAGATGATAATAAAGTCAAATTATTGCAGCAGCATTTTACTCAGCCTAAAGGCTTCAATGTGAATCCTGCAAACAAAATTTTATCACTGATTAGGATCCTTTGCTTACAAAAATAATAATAATAATTTTACTGGTGCTGTCTTACTGGGATCTCTGTTGAAATAATATGTGGATCTTGAGTGTGTGTAATTTGTGAGGAGCAGTTGTTATGAACTCCATGTTTTTTCCTCACTTGCATTTCTTAGCAATTCCTCCATATTCTGAAAATGGCAGTACTAGTAAAGGTTTGCCTGAAAGCAGTTAGGTAGCCCATGTCTGCAAATGATTGTTCTGGATTTGAATGGCCTTTTTTGCTTTGCAGAGAGGCAGCACGTGAATGTCGCAGGAAGAAAAAGGAGTATGTGAAATGTCTAGAAAATCGAGTGGCTGTGCTTGAAAACCAAAACAAGACACTGATTGAGGAGTTGAAAGCACTTAAGGACCTTTACTGCCACAAATCAGATTAATTTTGGATTCTCATTTTCACTTGTCCAGGTGGGATAGAGACTGGTTCTGGCTATACCCAGAAAGACAAAGTAAACTTTTTATTTTCTAAACATTTCTTTTTTTCTATGCGCAAAACTGCCTGAAGCAACTACAGAATATACTTCATCTGTGCTTTGCATCAAACTGTGAATGTTCAAGTACTTGCCTCCACTTCTCCCCTTACAAGATGAATTTCATCATCAATCTCAGCGTGAAGAAGAAGAAGAACAGGCTTCTCTCTCGTCTCCCGATCCTCTTCAAGGAGTAACAGTGGTCACTTGGGGAGTTACTGTGGGGAAGGTCCTTTTGTAAAGATGTCAAGAGTTTGTGCTGAGCTCTTTCCATTGCCTTAGAGACAGAGCCACCCCAGCCTCTTGGTCCAGGGAATGGTGGGCCCATAGGTGGAGCGGAGACAGAGCCACCCCAGCCTCTTGGTCCATAGGTGGAGCATGCAGGCTGCAGTGAAGAAGCAGTGGTTGCCACGGTGGTGTCACACGTTGGTGCTGAGCAGCGCCAGAGGGGTGCTTCACTGTCACCTTCTTGGTGTGGAGATAACAGACCTTTCCAAACTAGCTCAGGAGGGGCTTTGATCTGCAATCTGTGTTAAGCCCTCCTGGACTAGTCAAACCTTCTCCATACTTGAGAAACAAATGCATTGAAATGAGCTTCACTGGTCAGTTGTTGATTCTTGTAGCTTATGTGTGCAAGTGCGTTCAGCGTTCTGAATGCACAGAAAACAGACACCAATTTCATAGGATATAGGTTGGGAAATTTTATTTGGATGGGAAAGGAAATTTTTTAAAAAGATGCAATTGCCATGTTCTGTAAACAATCACATAGTAAACAGGGGTTACACATTAAAGCACTACCTATTTGTATGCAGAACAACTAAGCAGTTGAAGCATAGCCAACTCCACTTAAGTATTCCCTGAAGACAGTATGGTCTGTGTCCCAAGTCCTCTCAAGCAATGAAGTTGTTTTTATTCCCTACCACTGTCTTATGCAATGGAAATTATTGTACTCAATAGAAATATCAGCCTGGTTTGCTAAATTCTTTTTTGAACTTTGAGGCTGCCTTCAATACATAAATTAAGTTGTAGTTTAACAACTATTAGGACAACCTCAAATATTAAAGAGGACTTCAAACACAAATATTTCAACTCCTGCTTTGAAAGGGAAAATACTGATTATTTGAACCTGGCCATATTAGCTAAACTCTTAATTTATTTGGGGTATTTTTTCATGGAAAGAGTCAGATTATTCCTGCAACTAAAATTACTTACGTGCCTCAGATGTTTGCAAGATCAAGTTTTTTCTGTGCACTGAGGAACTGTTGTCTTTCCCAGATTTATGGTGTTAAAAAAGGTAGTTAATATTTTAAAAAAATCTGTACTAAGCATTAGGACTTTAAAAGAATCATGCTCAAAAGGAACCAAAAAAGAATGTGTCCAAAAGAAATCATGTGCAGTTTGTGTACTGGCCCTCTGAAGCCAGTCTCTCACTGTGTTAACTTGGGTCATTTGATGGAGTAAGTTTACTTTGGGCTTCTGGTCAAACTTTTATGTATAGAAACGTATGGATAAGGCTGTGGTCTAGACTAATGCCTTGCCTAGCAGGGTATTAGCTAATATTTTTTCCTGTTCACTCTGTATCTTTTTAAGATAAATTTCACACACAGGCTTCTAAAAGATTATACAGTCAGTGTGATGTTGTGAGGAAAATACTTGGAAGACTCTGGGCAGTTGAGTCTCAAACACCTAAGCAGTATTAAAAGTTCTAGATTTCTCATTTGAGGGGGCATTCAGTTTCCAAGAGACTTAATTTAAAAGGAGCGGGGTTAAACTTACAGCATTATTGTTACAACTAGAGTTATCAGGAATTTCAAATTACACTTGTATTTCAAGAAAAGAACATAAGCATCAGAAATATGAAATAATTCACTTTCACAAGTTTTGTGGGTGTTTATAAATGGTCTATTTTTATCTGCCATAGAGAGTTGATTTTTGTGGTTTTATTTAATGGGAGATGAATCTATTAGTTTAGCAGTGCAAATGTAAAGAAGACCCTAAGTTCTCAGCAGTGCTTTTATAGAAACTATCTGATTGTTAAAATCAGCGAATACAAATTCATAAAACGGTTACATTTTCCAGAACGAGTACAGAAGTAGAAGTGTTGATAATACAGGAGTCATTCTTGTAAAGCATGAAGCTCATGGTGGCCTCATTTGCAATTACATGGAATGGTTCCTCCACTTTGAGGAACACAGAAAAGGCTGTGTATGCCCACATTAAGGCTGTTGCTTTTGTAGAACATCTGTTTGTAAAAAAAATGTGAGGTTTTGCAGTGACCCTGAACAAGGCAAGCTGTGCTCTGAGAGCTGTGTCTAGTGGGTAATGAACACTGTCCAGAGCTTGCTGATAATCACTGGGCACAAAATGGGCATGGGAGCCTAAAACTGTGCCCAGGTGGGGTTCTCCTAATCCACTGTGCAGACTTGTGTGGCAGTGAGAGGAGAACTGTGTTACCTGTTTGTCTGTGTGTGGTCTGCAAGTGGCCTGTAGTGGTTTTAGCCTAGACTTCATTAGCAAATAAAGTTCCACTAAGGAAAGGAATGTAGATCAGAGTACATAGGGCTCTGCAAGAATCTTTATTTTTATTTATGCTGCACTGAGGATTATGGGACACAAATTTATTTAATGAAAGTATAGATTACAATAATAAAAAATGTATTAGACCAAGTACAGGGCTGGCTAGGCTACCCATACATGCTTTACTATTCATATTGTCCCAAAAAGGGAAAGAATATGACACAGGAATCTGTTCCTATGTTATTTACCAAGTAGTGAGGTTGGGGTGATAAGCTTCTATAAACTAAGGCCATTTGGAAGTAGGATGGAAATGATGCTGACAAGGGGGACGGAGGATTAGTTTTATATCTCACGGTTGTGAGTTTTCAAGACCTGATAGACTCTTTGACCTGAAGAGAGGGTTAGAAAGGGCTAGATCCGTTACGTTCATAATAAACAAGAATTGGTTTGAAATATAATTTTTGTAATGTCATTATTTTGCAAAACAACAGCACCAATCAGGCAGTTAAGATATTGTCAAAGGTGCTCTTTTAATTTAGATATTCTTGGAAAATACATATGTATAATATATGTACATATATATATATACACACAGTATATAATCTACAGCTCTGAGAGCTTTTAAGTCAGGAATGCTGAGTATTATAGTATATGGAGGTCAGAAAAAGAATTTTTACTTTTCTGTGTGTCTGGGTGTGCGTGGATGTGTGTGTGTGTGTGTGTGTGTGTGTGTGAAAGCTTCCCCTCACCCCAGTAGCTCTGGGCTGCGTTATTCTAGCTCTTAATTACTGACTTGTTTTGTGCTGTCTCTCAGTTATCCATTTTCAAGAATTTTATTTCATCTTTCGTGGCTTTTGTGAAGTTTGTTTTTTACCGATGAAGATTTTTGAAATGATGTAAACAGTTGTTTTACAACCACCACCCCCCAGAGTAATTCACTTCTGTGCTTTTTCTCTTTGGCAGCTATATATCAAAGGCAAAACATTTGGAAAGGTTGTTAAGGTGTTATTTTCTAAAGGAACCACTGGTAAGACTTCTGTTTTCCTCCTGGGGTAGTGGTGATGCATTCTTCCTTAGGCAGCAATTTCACCAGCACTGGGCACCGTTGCTTGTATCCGAAAGCACAATTTTAGCCTGTTGTGCTTGTCAGGACTGCTCAGACACCTGCAGTTCTGGCTGGCCTGGAGTTGGCATTTGCATTGGAGATCACTGTCTTCTCTGGTACTTGTACATTGGTCAGAAAATTGGTGGGGTGTTTGGAATCATTAAGAGGCTCAGGAAAAAAAAAAAGATTTAATAAGGAAAAACAGCCCTGATAGTTTCTGACCTAAATTTGTACCACAGGTTGCTTTTTTAAAATCTGGGCTTCCAGTAAACTGCAGCAGCAACTAGTCATCTGTTAGTGAAAACTAGCACTTGCTTTTTTATTTTGTTTTTTCATTTATGGCAGACAGTGTTTTTTGTGGTTTAAAGACAAGTCCACCCATCAAAGCAAGTTTGATATCAGTGGTTGAAAATCCATGACAGTTCATAGCAGATTCAATTGATTTTCTAAGACCTTGTTTTTATTGTAATTTTTTTACCCTGGAGCCTGGTTAGTGATGTAACATTTGCCAATGATCCAACCAAAAGGTCATGTATTTATTTTTTGTTACACTATGTTCTTTGTAAATGTTTAATTAAAATGTGCACTTTTAAAGAAAAAAACAACAAACAGAGGAAAAAAACCATTAAGGTAAATTTGGTTTGCTTGAGAAGATTTCTGGCATAATAGTTGTGATCCTGCTGCCTGCACACAATTCACTCCTCCACAGCAGCTGACTCCTTGGCTAATTGAACTTGCAGATCAGCACCTGGTGCCCAGCAGGCATTGCTTCAGAAGGGCAGGAGAGCTGAAGGGGCAACAATCAAGCGTGTGGTGTCTGGAGCAGTATGTAGAGGATGGATGTGACATTATTTTTAGAGTAGAACTAGTTCAGTGATCCCATGTGGGAAAGGGAGGTTAATTTGGAAGGAAAGCTGAACTATTTTTCAGCCACTTTATTCCCCTTTTGTTAATTTGATATTTGTCTGCGGATTTTACAAGCTGCATTCCAAGAAAATAAATTGAAAGGCTTTCCAGTAATTTGACACCAGGAAGTAAAGGTACATTGACAGTGTGTCACCTTGCTTGAAAAGAAAAGCATAGCACAACCACCTTTCTTTAGCGGGAACTATGATAATTTAACCCTGAAGTCTGTCATTGTGAGCAGGTTTTAAAAAGCATACAGTACATTGATGGTTCTCTGTCGTCTGCCTGGGAACTCGTTTTTCTGAGCTGTGTAATTTGCTAGTTGTAAAAGACACTGATTTTACAAAAGCCTGAATGTATCCTGAAGCTCAGTTGGTCTGGAAGGAGCCAGACTGGTGAAGAGAGGATGCTGAAATCCACCTTCTGTGTGCTTGTGACAGGTTCAGGTCTGTGGATAGATAGACTTAAGTGTGTGAATCTTTGGGGAAAAGGGACCAGATCCAGGTGGTGTAAAGAGGGTTTGCATTTCAAGTGTTTTGCCTTGGAATGTGTTTTTAAAATGTATTTAAGCTGTGGCCTGCAGAGAGATGTGCTTGGGCTAGTTGGCACAGCACAAATTGAAGAGTGACTTTGTGGCACTGCAGGTGCAGCTTTGTGACTGGATCTGCAGTGAGTTCAGGGCTCGCTTTCAGAGGAGAGGCAGGAGCAGTCAGCTGTGTGCTGGCAGGAAGGGGCCAGGGACAGGCTGCAGTGACCCATGGCTGGCACACTCCATAAGCTGAGCATTCACTGCACTCAGGACTCTAGCAGTTCACTCAGCCTCAGCTGCATATTCCTCTAAATTAGGGGATAGCTGAGTGAGAGCATGGGGATGGCAGGCCTTGAGCAAGTTGCTTCTCTGGAAATGGCCACTCTTAAGAACTAAGGATGTTTGGGTGCTCTCCACAAGTTGTGTTTTTATCCAGGTGCCACTCCATTTTTTGTGTGTTTAATTGCATTTATTTATATTAAAACGTTAATTTTAAAATGTTCTACAACTTCAAGTTTATATGAGATTTGAAACTGTGCTGCTTATAATGGACTTCTTGGGATGGGAACAGGACAAGAAGAGGTGCTAGTTGGCAGCCTACCCCTCCACTGACTTTTTTCCACAGATTGGTCATTCACTTCAGAAATTAGTTGTTTCTACTCTGGATTTATAATTTGAAATTGTTTTGAAACAATGTTTTTCAGGGAAGTTTCCAGAGCAAGGGTTATTATTCTCCCTTTGTAGTGTAAGCTGGAAAGAGTATGTTCACCTCATCTGCATTTCTGATTCTTTACCCAAACCATGTCAGCACAGAACAGGGTATTTGAGCTTAACTCCCACATACTTGTGGAAATTAAAAGATTAAATGAAAATCCATCATTGGGGGAAAATAAAAGCTTTTTTACATCTCCCCAGAAATCTAGAAACATCCCTGTTGTGTTCTTTTTTTTTTCTTTTTTTTTTTTGTGCTTTATCTGTGTTTAAAAAGAATTGTACTGGGTTATAATGCATTTTATTAACACTATGTACATATTAGCTGCTTTGTGTTTCAGAATGGTAGTAATTGCTTTGTATATTAAAGTGATTCTTGTGAATTTGTGAATTATTGTCATAAAGAAGTGCTTTTTCTTACTGTAACCTTTGTGGTATAAACTGTCATAACTCCCTTTTTACACAAACATTTATGTGCAGTCACATAAACATGCTTTAAAAAACTCTACAAAGTCTCTTTTTTGAGCAGGGTGTTCCATTTACACTAATTTAATTTAGTGGCAAATGGCAGCTAGAAGAATATGGGAAAAGGTGTATTTTGAGCAGCAGTCTGTGGTATCATCTCAATCTGTGCCCTGCCCTCAGTATTCATAAAGTATTCTCCCCAAAGAGAAGGCTTTTTTTTAATCTTAATTGAATTAGATTAGTTAGAGGTTAAGTCCTGAAAAACAAAGTTTCTCTTCCTCCTGATATTTTTAAACATGTTTTCCAGTACCCATTTTGGTGGCAGTTCTGTTGTTCAATAATGTTTGAAAGGCTTATGCCTTTCACAGTTTAAATATGCTGTATGTCTCACTTTTAGGCATTCCTGTGAACTATGTACCACTGGTCTTCAGAACAGAACAGAAACAGAAGGCAGCAAACACTGCAAGGATCGCAGCCCTATTATGTAATCTGCTAGGCTGGATCCAAACACTGGGATGGAAGCCAGGAGAACAAATTCAGCTCTGAGGTAAACACACCTCCAGTGAAACCAAGGGGAAGCAGTAAGGTCAGCTCATTTCAGCTGGGATTTTCTAGTTTTTATGAGGCCATTCACGTTCTTGCTCAGAAAAATCTACAGTAGTGAGAGAGAATCCCAAACAGGGTTAGTCCCTGAGATAAAAATGCAGTTTGGCTTGAATTTTGCACTGAAAAGAACTGGGTAACACAGAGCCCTGTGTAGTCAGCTATGTATCTTAATATCAATCAAACATTACCTCGACTGCAGTGACATTTCACAAAAGCTTGTTCTCTTGCACATCTTTCAGGGATGGTTTCTCAGCGTCACAGCATGGTTGTGTCTCACCTGGTCACTCCCCTGTGGCTTGGACACACTCCTTAGAGCGAGTGAATTTCTCAGGAGACTTTGTGCATTGCCCCACTACTCAGGGATGCAGGCCAACCACGTCCTACAGATGAGCTCAGATCACCTGTTACAAAACAGGATCAGTGCAATGGAACCACCCAAAGGAGTGGGATGCTGTAGGGCTGGGATGAGCAGGGTGACAGAAGGTGCTTGGGCAGGGTGTTGGTGTAATTGCCAAGCAGCTGCTGGCAGCAGCTATTGTCATGCATCATCTCATACAGAGCAGGATCTCCCGTGGGTTGGGACACCCGGGTTGGCAGGTGTCACTGCACAGGGCTGCTCCCTGTGCTCCCTCACCAGCACTTACACCTCTGCTGCTTGTCCTGCACGCCTGGTGTGGTTCACTTGTGGCCTGACTCACTCCTGACCTCTCCCTGAAGGTAAGTACATGGGAATACAGAACACTTGGGAAGCCATCCTGGAACAGCAGAAGGCAGCACTCACTGCCTGGTGCACGTGGGTGTCAGCACTGCCCAGGGGGATGGACTGCGGGTTGCAGCTGAGCTACATTCTCACACTTGATGCCTGCTGTAGCTTTAAATGCAGCCACAACTGACGTGCACATGGTTGTGGCCTAACTGCAGTATTCCTGGAGCTGGTCTGCTGAGTCTAGCAGGACATGCACCCCAGTAGTTGTCCCCTTGAGAAGTGCCACTTGAGAAGTGCCGCTTTCTGGGCTGGGGAGGGGCCACCAAGAGTTCTGCAGGCCAGGAGCAAGGCACTCACCTGAGCTGCCAGTGCCATCTCGTGCTCTTCTCCAGTTATTTATGGGCTGTAGCATCACTGCAGCCTTCAGACACACTCCCTTGGGTGTGCATGCAGCTGCTGTGTAACAGCAACACGGCAAAAGAAGCCAAGCCTGGTCTCCACTGGCACATGTCTGCTCTGGCAGGATGGCTGTGGGCTGTAACAGCAGCAATGGGAAATCTGACGCTGAAAACTTAACAATCAGATGGAATTAAACTGCATTGGTTTAAAAGTACAAAGCTGTTTCTATCGTCAAAACAAGGCCTGGGACAAAACCTCCTTCTTAGAAGTGTGCAGGTCGCTGCACCAGCCTTTATTCTGTGCTTTGTTCTGTGCTATTTAAGCAGAATTTTAGCCTGTTCCTGCTATGGCAACAGTGCAAGCTGCTCTGGCTGTCAGTGCTGCAAGCTGCAGCCTCTTGCAAGGGCCGAGCACTGCCAGGCTTTTCCCACAGAAAAGTTCCCCTGGGCACTCACGAGCCCAGGCACCAGCACACTGCTTTCTGCCAGCTCCAGCCCAAGGGGAGCCTGAGCTACACATGAGCCTGATGCCTGCTCCCAGGTGAGTTTGGAGACAAGGATACACCAGTGGGGAGGAAAAGGAAGAGGTGAGAACTTAGAGCCACACTCCAAAAACTAGAGCCAGGCAGAGAGGGGAGAGCTCATAATTCTTTTCAACCACTGCTCACCCAGCGGATAGGACAGAAGGAGCTACACCTTACACATGAGAGCTCATCTCATGATCTGTTTTCAATTAAAGGTGCTGTCTTCCTTCTCCCAAACTGACTCCAACTCCAGTTTCAGGCTGCGAATTCCCAGCCAGCTGCCTCAGCACTGTTTTGGTGACACCGTGTGGCTTCCGAGGATACTGTTACAGCAAGTGTTCCAGAGCGGCAGCTCCCAGACGGGTCCGAGGATACTGTTACAGCAAGTGTTCCAGACGGGTTCGAAGCCAGGCAAGGAACTTCGCTGAAAACATGCAAGAGATGTGCCAGGGATGAAACACAAACCTTAATGATAAATGTGTCCTTTCCACATTACAGTCAGCACAGCACTTCTGGACCACCGACCAGGAAGTGTGATGGGAGCAAAAGTGACAAAAACTTCCAAAATGTCCATGGCCAAAGCAGCTGCTGCTTTGTTCTGCAAAGCTGTTTGCTGTTGCCAGTGCCAAGTGCAGGCACACGCTCAAAGTCTGAGCCTGACCTGAGGCTTTTTGAGTTTAAGTTTAAAGCAAAAAAAGTTACACATCCACACACTGCGTTTAGAGTTGTAGCTGTCTTCTGTTTGCCCATTGTTTTCATCAGTTTCATTCTTCCACCACTAGAAAGTGAAGGAAGTCTGTTGCTGGTGCGAGATGGATTCCCAGATCTTGTGGGATAAACACACAGATGTGTTTTACAAGCTCAAGGTATGAAATCTGTTACTTGGAGCAGTGTCTTAGCTACCACTGTGCACTGAAAGCACACAAACCTACTAAGGCCCCAAGGCCCCAGGTAATGCAAAAGTACTTCCCCTGCTGCAAAGACTTTACAGAACACCCTCCTGACCTAAGTAACAGCTCTCAGAGACAGAGGGAGCACGAACAAAGGCACAAAGTAGAACATTATCTAGTGGTGATTTGAGAGTCAAGGGCTGATTTGATATTTTAAGAACTTGAGTTTCCTTGTTGCACTTTCCCAGCGGCACATGTGCACGTGTATCTCCTCCAAGGAGCCTTGATCTTTGTGAGGCAGACTTGTTAGGGGCAACTCAGAAACCACAACTGCTTCAGTACTGCAGGTGTAGCCCACTCACTTGCAAATCAGATAAAAATAACACTGATTTCTAAGCTGGCTGATTTGGCAATCCCTGTTCCCAGTGCCCCTCCAGATTTTGTTCTTTGTTTCACTGTGCCTCAACGCAGCAGTGACAGCAAAATAACCACTTATAGCATCTGCCTTTGGTTCTTTTTGCCTTTTAAGTGGTTTCTTCTACCACAACTTCTAAGATACAGAAGTCCTGAAGAGTTAAAGCATTTAGAGCTGGAGCATTAGCTTTTATTTCATCCACTCTCCTACTTTTCTAGAGTTAAGGAAGTGGTAAAGGGAAAAAAAAACCATTGTAATCTCTTTAAGTTTCCCCAGTAGTTAAATGTGGTTTGATTTCAGACAACAGACCTTTTGATATAACAATTTCGATGCTGGAGATTTCTGCAACTTGAATCAGCTTCAAAAATTACATTTGATGAAAAAACAGTGGAACACCCTATATGACTCTATTCAGATATGAAGCAGAGGTTCAATATGCAGAACAGAAGTACAATCCTTGCTGTACCAGACCCAGTGATCAGACAAGACCATCACAACAAGAAGCCAGTGAAATAACACAACTGCAACTTCATGCTTAGGAACAAGTGTATTGAGTAGAAACAAAGGGGAGAATTGAACAGCATCAGTGGCTTATTAACAAAGCAGAGAGTCATAAGTCATCCTTGCGACTCCCCCTCTGTGCTTTGTAGATATGAACATCCTTACTGGAATCATAGTGGACCTCGGACACAGAGAAACGCTCCCTCAGCATCTTCAGGAACTTGAGGTCCCGCTCGTAGCGGATGCGGCAGGAAAGGAGAATCACCGTTCTCTCTGAGCACAGGTGCTCCAGCGTCTGCAGCAGCTCTGCAAATGTTTCTTCCAGATAAACGATGTCTGCACCCAGGATTAAGTCAAATGCTCCTGGAGGGAAGTTATGCAGGTCTTTTCCCCACGTCAGCTCCTTCACCACGGCTCTAGGACGCAGTTCAGGGGGCAAGTTCGCCTGCACATTTGACTCCAGGAGCTCCAGCGCTGCCGCCCTGTCTGTGATGGTGACACGGGCACCTAAGGGGGACAGGAGGCCATGGCTCACACTCACAATCCACATCCCTCAATGCAGCAAGAGGAATGCAATGCTCTAACTCCAGCAGGCTCCTTAGCTCCTGTTACACATTAACGCCCCCCCTGAGCTGCCTGATTAAAAACAAACAAATAAAATAACAAAATAAGCAAAACCCCCCTGTCTACAGACATCCTACCCTTCATCAGTCACTTAACAATATAAAGTGTCGATTAAGTTGGGTAGGGAAAAGATCATCTTTTCTGGTGCTTTTTCTTAATGTATGAAAGTCAAGGAGTTACTTTTGGCCTTTCCACATGTGACTGAAGAACAAATTACAGGGGGTGTTACAATTAACCTGCTCCAATTCCGTATTTTTCTGTAGGAGAGAGGCAGCTAGAGAGCCTCACAGGTCAGACAAAAGCTATGCCTGTATGATTTTTCATGGCATGACTGCATTTTGTCAAACTGTTTTGTTTCTATGATTTCAATAGGCACCTTTCAC